GTTTAGGGTCTAGCTCTCTCCAACAATGTTTCGTGAGGGGGGGGGGGGGGCTGTGGGGGGGGGCGGTTGGGGTCTCAGTTTGGGAGGTTGGGGGCTAGGCTACGGTGCTTAGGACGGCTTTTTGGGTTTCCTTGTTTATTGTTCGGGATTTAGGGCTTTAGGGTTTATTGGCTGCCCGGTCTTTCTTCCGGGTGCCAGTCTAACAAAATCATGCTTGCACAAAGGCTTTCGGGGTTTAAGGCTTGATAAAGCAGGCTGAACAACTAGTAATCATTGTCTCCTGACGTCTCAACCTCGATAACCACAGTCTGCAGCCTCTTGAACCTCCCAAACCCTTCTTCAGGAACGCTTCTATAGAAGGCACCTCTTCGAAAGAGGGGGTGTTCCTCAACAGTTGTCTATACTATACCAGCTCAGAACTTTACAGACTGGACGCTTGTCAAGTTACCATAATAAGGAAACCCTGTCATTTACTATAGATCCCGATTATGGCCTCCACATTCTACGTATTACGGCCCACATACTAGAGCGATTGTAGCATCCCTTTTGGTAGTAACCCTAAGATAGAGCTATGCACAGAAACCCGTTGAAACGAAGCCTTACCATAATAGTACCCTCGTTAATATCTCTAATACTTACACAGAACTCTTTGAAACACCCTGAACCCTAAACCCGCAACATTAGAACCAACCCCTTACAGGGAACCCTAGGTGTACCAATCGGGATGTATAACCGGTGATTCTCCGAGAGAGGCAGCTGCAGAGAACACATTCCCAAGTCTTCAAATCCGAAAGCCTACACCCCATCGTTATTATATCGTTATACGACATCATGTTGTGTTGTTATATTTGTATTATTTGTTTCTTTGCTCTTCGCTTTTGCCTACTGTCGAGTTATGTTGTCAGGCCCAGCTTTCGCAGATGGCAGCGCAGTTGGCCACAGCCACCCGGCAGTTTTTGCTGAATGATGCATGTATGGTTTAGGGCTTAGGATTTAGGTGCATGCTTTGGCCGTACACTGGCTCATTGCACATATAGACATAGTCTGTGTTGACTCGTGGCATATTTGCGCACCCACCCGACCACCCACCCACACCACCCATCCCAACCACCCCAGGCCCGCCACCCTCCCACTCACCCACCCGCCCACCCTCCCTCACACCTAGCCAGCCGGCCAGCCATGCATGCATCAACCCATGCACCCATCCATCCATACATAGACTTACAGCATGTCTCTAGACATGTATACTGTATATGATATGTATATGTATATATAAATATATATTTATGTATATCCATATGTATTCTGTTTATCTGCGTAATCTTATGTTGTCCCGAGTGACGGTTTGCCAGCATATGGCTGGATGCATACTAGTATTGTATCTGTAGGATTCTGTAGGTATGTTTTGTATATTTCTGTGCTTATCTGCGTAAGTGGGCATATGTGTACGCAGGCGTGTGTACGTGTGCGCATGTACAGTTGCCAAGTACATTTTTGTATGCCCCAGAAGTAGCCGTTGGTGTATACAAGAGCAGCCCGCATGTGTCGTCTTATCAGTGGTACAGTTGTGCGATAAAGCTTCCAAATCCTGCGAAACTCCAATGCTGAAGTATCGCCCATCAAGTGCAGGTAGCTCAGCTGAGCCACAACTTGCAGCACCTGGAAATGCAGCTGGTGCTGCAGCGGCAGCAGCACCAGGCAAGGGGAAGGGGTTGAAGCCTTGCTGGTTTCCCTTCCTGACCCGGTTCCGAAAAAGGTCAAAGATGTTGGGTAATGGGTTTAAGTTTTAGAAAAGGGCTTCGGCAAATGGCTGTTCAATTGACATGCTACTTCTCTCCAGCCAGACATCGAATGTTTCACCTCCATATGGCGACACAAGCTCAACCCTGCACCCTATTTTCAAAAGACCTTAGAGCCAAAAGACCACACATCTCAAGTTGCATCAATCTCTCAAAACTTAAGAAGATTTAAGAATGTCTTGCTGGCGGCTTTCAAGTTTTCCAGCCTGGAAAGGCTTGAGAATCTCTTCTCCATGTTCATCTTGTTCTAACCTTTTATCTTTCAAACTTAGTTTCGCTCTCCTCCTCCAACTTGCAATCTTTGCAGGGCGCACATCGCTATGGCATCAGACGTTAGAACTCAAACTCCCAGCTCGAGCTTGTTGCCAAACTTGCAACCTTCAGATTTGTGAACTCCAAACTTGTCTTTCTCCAGGCTCGGCTGTCGACTTCAGTCTTTCATTGCTCAACACCTGATTCCACAATAAGCTATTCTCGTGACATGCCTCCAAAAACAAGCAGTTCTCTTTCACACATAGTCGCGTCAATTGAATTTAACCTGCACTACAGGCATGTGGGCATTTTTGGAGAAACCCCAACCGTGTCCGCTAATCCCTCAACCGCAATCCCTAATTACTAGCCCCGAAACCCCTAACAGCTAGAAGCCCACAGCAAGCATCACAAAACTCGTACACTTCCCATATCTTCCCACGATAGAACTTATGAGCTTCCCATCATAAAACTCATGAGAATCCCAAGACAGAACTCATGCACTTCCCATCGTAGAACTCATGAATTCCCCATCACAGATCTCATGAACTTCCCATCGTAGAACTCATGAACTTCCCATCATAGAACTCATGAACTTCCCAAGACAGAGCTCATGAACTTCCCATCATAGAACTCATGAACTTCCCAAGACAGAACTCATGAACTTCCCAAAACAGAACTCATGAACTTACCTGGACCCGAAGCTCCTCTCCCCTTCGACGCGCCCGGGCCGTTGCAGGAGGATATGGTCAAGCTGATGGCTGCCCAGGCATTGCTGAGGGGCACAGTTGTGCTTTGGGGCTTAAGGGGTTCAGGGACGGTCGTTTTTTTTTTTCGGTGTTCCGGTGAGGAGCTTTAACGACTTTTGCACATGGGGTCGAAAAAAATGCGTAAAACCTACAAGCCTAGGCTGCGGGTCTGCCGGTATTCCGGAGGAGCCTGCAATTTCTTCTGCGGGATGAAGCCTGAAACCTATACCATGGACCCTAGGATAGCAGCAAAAGCATGACCTCGGGATCCGCTGAAAGGACTTTCCGTCCTAGGTTAATGTTGGGGGGGGTTCTTATTGTAATCATAGCATAATGTACCCCCCAACCTTATTCTAATTATTAAGGCCCCTATATTAGGTTTCTTGAATCATCAGTTCGGGCCGCAGGGTTTGAGGGCGATTAGGGCAAGATTCGGGCTTGGATCTGGGTGCCAGGTTTCAGGTTCTTCTTGTGTTTAGGACTCAGGGTTTCGGATTAAGCGAGCTATTGTTCTGTGCGGGGTTCAGTGTTCTACGATTTCCCGTTCAGCTTCGATGCCGTGCTAGGCAGTTTCGCTGAGCAACCTCACCCCGAGCACTCGGTGCAAGGCTGGATAGTGAGTTTAGGGTTTAGGGTTATTTTTTGGGGGTCCTCACTATCATTACAGTATATACCCCAAACCGGATTCTAACTATTAAGGCCCGTATATTAGGGCTTGGCGTGAAAGGCGAGACATCGACATCTAACCTGGGACTTAGGCTCTAGAAGGTTTAGGGTTTAGGGTCTAGAGGGCTTTGCCCCAAACCCCAAAACCCTCCAAAACCCAACATCCCAACGTTGAAAGCCCTATCAAGCCCAAAACCCTAGACCCCTAGACCCTAAATCCCAAAGCCCCAAGCCCCTAAGCCCCTAAGCCCCGTAAACCCAACCCCAAAGCAGTGAGAATACGTTGGCTAGCTTTGGAGTGAGAGCCTCGTGGGGCCATAGAGTTCTGAACTCGGAGCAATACCCAGTTTGTAGGGTCTAGTTGTCTCAATAGGCTTTAGGGCTTAAGGGTTTCAGGGATTTTAGTATTTAGGTTGGCATTTCATTTAGGGTTTGGGGTTCAGGGTCCCGGGTTTAGGAACTGGCTTAGGGCTTACGGGTGACGTAGGGTGCTTTGGGCTACATACTCGGCTGGCTCTGTCGGTACTCCGCTTCCTTTCCAGACGAGCTTGGAACCTTAGTAAGGTTCAGGGAGGCTAGTAAGCAAAGCAAGTCTCCAACCCATTTTGGTTTGCAACACCTTGAAAATTAAATTCAACAGAGATGCCGCAGAATGACCTTGCCGAGTCAATCACTCCTGGCGGCTGGCGGTGGAAACGAGGGTATTCCGGGGCAGGCCCCAGTACACAGTGGTCTGGAAGGGCATCACTCGACTGCGTGCGCGCTCTCCGGCCTACGCGCGCGCGCGCGATCCAGAACGCTCCTGGCTCGACGTGCCGGAATGGCAGGGCAGGGTGGTCCTAATGAAGGGGCCTTATTAATTAGAGTAGGGTTTTGGGGTAATTATATTATACTATCATTACAATACGGAGCCTCCAGAATAGTGTAGGTAATTATTTCAGCCACTATATTAGGGTGGCCGCCGGGAGTCGGGAGGCCTTGCAAGCAGCGAAGGCAGCTCTGAAGGTCGGCCCGAGAGAAGCACGAGAAGCTGCAGTGGTCCCACAAAATCCCCAAAGGGTCCTATGTACTGTTTTGGGGGATGATTCCATACATAATAGTAATTCCTAGTGTAGAAACTCTATATTCTACCATAAAGCTACTTTGGACTCTTTGGGACCACAAAAGCGCCTGTCGCTGAAACAGCTTTACTCATGCGACTTGGGCCGATGCGTTTCCGCGAAGGCCCCTGTTCGACAGCCTTGGGTGCTTGCGAAGTGCTTGACGCGAAGTATGCGTCCTCTCACCAAATAAAGCCAGACCGCCATCTTTCAGAAAATCTGAAGCCCTTGTTAACAGCGATAAGCCCCTGTAAGACCTTTATCAAAACCTTTATAAGCAACACTAAAGCACCCGTCACCTCTTAACTGTGGGACCCCAACCCTAAAACTAAACCCCAAGCCCCACTTCCAGCCAAGTCCACAACCCCACATCCTAAACCGCAAACCCAAAGCCCCATAATTAGACCGACCCCCAAACCCAAAAAGCTTCCGAAGCCCTAAACCCCAAAACTTAAACCCAAGCCCCTAAACCCTAAACCCTTAACGCCCTAAACCCCAAAACCCTAAACCCCCAAACCTTGAACAAGAGAGCTCGAATTCGAGGCCCGGCCCGGGCCAAGGGAGCGTCAGAAGCTGCGCGAGGAGCGTCGAGCCCAGGCGCCCCCCATTTCTTTTTAGAATTGTTTGTTAGGCTTTAGGGCTTAGGGTCTAGGGTGTGATTTAGTATTGTAGGGGTTTCGGTTGATTCTCGGGTCTAGCGTAAAGGGCTTTGAAGAATAAACCCCGTCACGTCTAAAGGCCTTACTACTAGTAAGGTGAGGCTTGAGAGCTTAGAATGCAGCATGAGAGCTTTGGTGCAAGTAAGCTACGCCTTGAAGGTCGAGGTATAAAGACTTTGACAGAGCGTGCTACGCAGCCCCGTTGTCACCAACGGAATTTGCGTCATTGTCTTCTCTTGTTGAGTTCAGGGCTTGAGAACATGCCGCAAGCCGGTAAATTCATCCTAATACGTGCGCTAATGGTTCTCATTTGGTTCCGACAGACAAATAGGTTCCCAAGCATGAAAATCTGCCAACACCGATACCCCTTTATCGACTCTTGTTGCACCCCGAGGCCGAAAATGCTAAGAATGCTGTAGGTAGGCTACTAAACTGTTGAACCCTCAGCCACAAATCACAAACCGCCTGAGCTTCTACTCAGAAGTTCTGAACCCTAAGCCGCAAATAAGCACAGATGTAAGTATTTTAACTGCACTTACAAGATTTTTTAGTATAGCTACCGTCTTGATACCGTAAGCTTAGTTGCTAAGCACCATGAACCCTTAAATCCAAAACCCTATAGATCCCTTACAAAACTCTTTAAGGGAACCCTACCCTCAACCCTAGGCCCTAAGCCCTATAGTGCCCTTATAGAACCCTTAGGGACCCTAAGCCCTAAAACTTTAAACCTTAAATCCTAAACCCTGAATCCTAAACCCTAAATCCTAAACCTTAAACTCTAAACCCTAAGCTCTAACCCGAAATCCTAAACCCTAAATCCTAAACCCTAAACTCTAAACCAAACCCTTATGGACCCTGTAGTAGCCCGCAGCTTAGCAGGAGGTCGGGGAGTCCCAGCTCCAGGTTGCCACCTCAAGTGCCTCCACACTCGAGCCCGGGACTTAACGACCCAACTCTACAGTTTAGGGTCTAGGGTGAGGGGTTTAGGGGTCTAGGGTTAGGGGTTTAGGGGTCTAGGGTTAGGGGTTTAGGGGTCTGGGGTTAGGGGTTTAGGTGTCTAGGCTTGGGGGTTTAGGGGTCTAGGTTTAGGGGTCTAGGGTTAGGGGTTTAGGGGTCTAGGGTTAGGGGCTTAGGGGTCTAGGGTTTAGGGGTTCAGGGGTCTAGGGTTTAGGGTCCTAAACCCTAAACTCGATCTTTCCACGAGTGGGCCTTGTGGGGTCTCTCGGGGCTGCTTAGGGTTCCTGTTTAGGGGCTGAGGGTTTCGGGTCCTGTAAGGGTTTCTTCAAAGTTACCTATCAGTCTATGAGGGTTTCTGGTTCCTTTCAGAAATTTAGGGTTTATAGCTGAAGGGTATTGCTGTTGAATTTTGGGGTTTAGGGCTATGGGTGTTAGGGTATCAGGGTTTCGGGTTTGAGGTCTGGAATTTGGAGTTCGGGAGGGATACGGTGCTGGTTTAGGTTTAGATTTTACAGACACACGCACGCGCGCACACACGCGCGCACGCACAGAGACACACACACACACACACGCGCACACGAGAGCAAGCGGGCATTGTTTCCTGGAAGCCGAACATGCCAAGCCCAAAAGTTCCCTAAACAGTTAAACACTATACACCCGAAGCCCGTAAACCCTATAAGCCCTAAACCCCCAAACCCTACCCTAAACCCTGTAAGCCCTAAAATCCTAAACCCTACCCTAAACCCTATAAGCCCCAAAATCCTAAACCCTACCCTAAACCCTAAAAGCCCTAAAATCCTAAGCCCTACCCTAAACCCTGAACCCTAAACCCTAAACCCTAGACCCCAAACCCTAAACCCTGAACCCTAACAAACCCTGAACCCTAAACCCTAATCGGTTCTTCTCCCTCGAATGCTTTAGGCCAGAAGCTTCCGAGCTTTCCTTGCCGGCAGCTCCAGAGTCAGAGGCAGGGGCTTAGGGTTTAGGGTTCAG